GAGTTGTTGAACCCAGCATTTATAACAGCTTTTCATGTGGTATATCTGTTGATTCCTGGGAAGATGGCTGAGAAGCTGTACAGAGTTTCTGACTAACTCTTGGAGTTAAAAAGACAAAAACTGGAGTACAGGCCTGCTCTGGTAAACTCTATATGCTTCAAGTTGAGATCTTAAAGATCTATACTCTGGGAAAAGGTATGAACGAGAAGCAGACTTGCTTATGTTCCAATCACCTCTGTCACTAAGTAGAATAAGATAATTTTAAATTACCAATGCCCAAAGTCTCTGTGAGATATAAATCCTTTATACAGAAAATATTTAGATCCCAAGGTATAATTTCTGGAATTCAATAAAAAATAACATAACATAAAACAATACACATTAACAAACTTTTATAAATAAAAATAAAACATAAAATATTATGACACATAAACAAACTAAGACAATACGACATAAACAACCACCATGACAAAGAAACAAAAATGCTTTAGACAACAGCAGACTTCATAATTATTGGGGTAACCGAAAAGTTTGTTCAGTATTTTTCATATTACGGCTCTAGTAGTGCTTAGCTGTCTTGAACTTTATTCAGAACTGGTGAATTTTTGTGAAGCCATTCTAATGTTGAAGATGGAAGAAAATAAGCAACATTTTTGGTGTATGTGTTTTACCATTTCAAGGAATGTAAAATACAACTGAAACACACAAAAAATTTGTGCAGTATACTAAGAGATGTTATGACTGATCAAACGTGTCAAGAATGGTTTGTGAAGTCTCTTGGAACTACTGACATTGTGGAAAAATAATTCTTTGCTCTAGGGCTGTCTTATGCATTGGAAGATGTTTAGTAGCATCCCTGGCCTCTACCCACTAGAGCCAATAGTGGGAGATACCTGACACGCACACTCAAAATATCCAAATCAATAAAGTTATCGGTGAAAATGAAAAATGTGTCTTTTATTTTAAAGAAAAACTAAACGGGCTTTTTGGCCAACCCAACACTAGACACAGGCTGTAATATAATTATGTTCAATATATTTGAGAAAATGAAAGATCAGATTGAAACAGATAACTGGTTCAGTTCCCCGTCAGTGCACATGCCTGGGTTGCAAGGGCATACAAGAGGCAACCAATCGATACTTCTCTCTCACACTAATGTTTCTCCCTCTCTTTCGTTCTCTGTTCCACTGTCTCTATAAATAAGTTTAAAAAATAATTTTAAAAATAAAAAGAAAACAGTGAACTGAAAAAAATGTAAGAATTATCCAGACTTAACCACAGTGAGACATATGAATGGAAACCGAAGGAATAAAGTGAAATGATGTAATATACATTCATTCAAGTGGAATACCAGGAGGGAAGAGGGGCAGAAGCAATATCTGATGAGGCAGGAGCTGAGAATTTTCCAAAGCATAATGACATCAGATCCCAGATTCAAGCATTACAAATCTCAAAAAGAAAACAAACACAAATAAAATAGCTTTTAGTCCTAGAATAAAACTGCTTCAAATTTAAGAGAACATCTTAAAAGCAATCAGAAGGAAAAAGAGACTACCTTTAAAGGGGCAAAAATAAAAGACATTATTTCTCAAAAAAATTATGGAAACCAGAAGCAATAGAATATATCTTCAAAATGAGAAAATAGTTGTTAATTCAGTAAAAATGTTCTTTGAAAATAAAGGTGAAATAGATTCAGGAGAGAAAAAACTGAATTTGTCACCAGCAGACATTTACAAAAGGGAGTACTAAAGCTTGTTCTTTAGGAAGAAATATGATCCCAGATGGAAGCTCAGACTCAGAGCATCATGAAGTACAATATAGAAAGTAAATGTCTGAGTAAATATAAGAGCATATTAATTGTATAAAAATGCTTTTAAAGAATTTAGAATATATATACACACACATATATATATGTGTGTATATATATATAGTATACACAATATATACGAGCATAACATGGGGTGAAGTGGTAAATTAAGTTGATGTGTTTACAGGTCCTTACATTGCCCAGGAAGAGGTACAATACAAATTATTTTTACTTATTTCATTTCTCCCACCCCATGGGAAAAATGGAAAAAGTAAACATAAGCAATCTAAAAGAAGGCATAATAGAAGAAAATCAACATAGGAGAGATGGGACAAAGAAAAAAATATGATAGCAGATTTTAATCCAAATATATTAGTAATTGTATTTCATGTAAACAGACTAAACATTCCAATGAAAATATATCAGAATAGATTTAAAAATATTTCATATCAGTCCTCAAGTTAATATGCTTTTTCCATTGCATTTAGGATAAAATCCAAACACTTTTCTGGCTTTCAATGTCAACATAATTTAGTTCTTTCTGACCCCCAAACTTATTCTTAGTCATTATGCTCCAACCAGGTAGGTCTTCTTTTGGTTACTGAAATAATCAAGCTAGTTCATGCCTTAGGTTTTGTATTATTGCCCCGTTTGCAAGTAATGGTTTACCCAATTTTTGCAAAGCTGGATTCTCCTGTCAAATAGCAGCTTAAGTGGCCCTTTCTCAGAAGCTCTCCTTCATCATCTAATCTAAAATAGATTACAGAAAATAATGATGTATTTTAATTTTCTGCTTAGCACAATTACTGTCTTATACTTTATGGCCTATTACCACTAAAATGTAAATCCCAATAGTAGGAATCATGTCTATTTACCACTGTTTCCCCAAGTCTAGTACAGTGACTGGGAAAGTACTCAATAAATATCTAATGAATGAATAAAGTTAGTTTACCTTTTAAACAGACTTTCTTATGGTTTTGTATGTTTACTGCCTTGGTGGTGGTTGTTCAAATACTTTCTTGGTATCAAAATGATATCAAGGTTCCATTTATGTATGCTAGTGACCCTTGAAAATGTGCATTGTTTAATTTGTATAAAAATTGCAGGAGCTATTCCATCAATTAATCAAATTTGTGGTGTTATCCTACATATAACTATGGTAACATGTAAAAAAGGAAAGGTTCATAGGAAGGCCACACTACTGAATTATTAAAGGGTTGCAATATGCTTCTGAAGAACATTTTTGTCCCAAATTAGGACGATGAGAGCAGTACAGGTGTATGCTATAAAGCATGAGAAAAGCCTTCACCCGTTCTTAGGGAAAAGAAAATACGTTTTTAAAAAATTACCCCCTTACAGAAAGGTTTAGAGTGGTAATTCCAGGAGTGGCGATCGATATATTTTGGTATCTTCCTTTTTTTACTTTGTTCCATGATTAGGATTATTTTCACATCAAAGCAATCATACTGGTCACAATTCTGCATCTTACTCTTTTAATTTAGAAAATAAACATTTTCCATTTGAAAGACTAGTCTAATGGCTTTTTAAAAATAGCTATAGTATATTTCACTAAGTGTACATGGTGGAATTTGACCAATCTCTAAGTGTTAAAGATTGTTCCTGATTTTTTACCTAATTATTGCTACAACTAACATTTATCCATAGTATTTATTTGTTATTTCTTAAGGGAAGGAGGCAGACAAAATAAAAAGGCCCCAGCTTCCCAGGGGTTTGTGTCTAATTAGAAAAATATAAATGGGGAATTACAAAGGCACTACATAAGAAAGCATGTAATAATCATCTTTACTAAATGTAAGAGTAGTGGAAATTTCTTTGTAGGAGGGGCTCATCAGAAAAACATTTTACAAAGACTATGGAGGTGGACTTAGAGCTAAGTGATAGGTCTTAATGGTGGAAAAATGTTCCAGATCAGTGTGGGTGTTGAAGGAGTTAACTTTTTGCTGGGGTTTTCTCACTCAGGAAGTCCTAATCATAGTAATAGTAAGCCACCAAGACCTATATCAAAGATTGGACTCCTTAAGTCCCCTGCCCAAATCTACCACATTTTTTTAAAGATTTTATTTTATTTTTAGAGAGAGGGGGAGGGAGAAAGAGATGGAGAGAAACAACAAATGGCTGCCTCTCACACATCCCCAACTAGGGACCTGGCCTACAACTCAGGCCTCTGCCCTGACCAGGAATCGAACCAGTGACCTTTCGGTTCGAAAGCAGAGGCTCAAACCACAGATCCACACCAGCCAGGGCCCAAATTTCTTTTTAGTCTCCATCATCCACACCTTTTTTCCCTTTCATAATTCTCTCCTTTCTTTATGTCTTTGTCTGACTCTCATCTATTTTAAGTAATGGAAATAGGTAAATCCCTCCACTTCAAGGCATGTAACCAATACAAACCATTCTAATTATTCTGTAGGATGTATATATAACCCCTGGGAAATGCTGTCTTAAAACATATATAGTATGCATTTTAATCTTTAAAAAACAGAAATAAGAACATTAACCAAGAGTTATCAACTTACCATACACTAAATAAGGAACATAAACCCTCTGATCTATAAAAAATAATATGCAAATAACGAATACTGACTGTGATTCCCTTTCATGGCTGTACTGTAGCAGGGATGGATCCCACCTTGATAATAATTCCAGTCTTACTGTCACATAGGACATGCTTCGTGAATTTCAATGAGGCTGCCGGGTTTAGGACAGATGTAAGAACCACAGTGTCAGAAATGAAAGAGTAAGACTTCACAAGATGTGTTGTCACTGACAGATAGCCATTTTCCTTCTGCATCTTTTCTTCCTTAAGGATAGCAGCTGCTTCCCACAGACACACCAGAAAACCACTCCAATCCCTCTCTACCACACTTACCATCTGCAGATGCCCTGGGCCTTGTCTATTTACAATCTTGTCCCACTACAGCAGAGGTGGAACCCTCAGGAAGGTTCTGGATTCATCCACAGCAGGATGGGTTTCACGAACAATTTCGCAGCCCCACCCACATCTAGCTGTTTCCAGTGTTAGTGCTTGTGATTCCTGTATCTTCTGTTTCTTATGCTATCCATCTGCCCACAAAAACACAACCCTAAACTAATGCATAGTCTCTAGCCCCCTTTCTAGTATAAAGCAACTTCCCTGTGCATGCCTATTTTGGATAGCTCAGAACTCTGATACTCAGGATCTTTTGACGATTTATTTATAGTCTGGACACCATGCTTTCTGGATAGTTTGATAAGGAGGGTGGAATGTTACATCTATAGCCACCTCTGCCCAACCTTCTTAACTTCTGAAGCGTCCTAGTTTCCCTCAATTCCGGATTAATGACAAAACTAGGCACTACGGCAATACATCCTATAAATGTAACTGAAGATACAGTCTCGACTTAAGCAAGGATCTCCACGTTGTGAAATTATCTTTTGGGATAAAGGCACTTTGTATCTACATTCCAAAGCTGCCTCCAGTACTGTCCTATTAGAGCCAAATGTTGTAAAAAGTAGAGTTGATAGGTAGAGATTCTGGGGTAGGAAACACAAAATTAAGAGGTATATGGGAATTTCACTTTCTTCAAGCTGATGATATATATATTTAAACTAAAAGGAAGCAGTCCGTATTGTAAAGTATTAAATAGGCATAATTATCTTCCTGGTTTCTCTGCCGTTGGTATGTTCTTCTGGCTTCGGCTGGTATCTGCGAGTAGTGAAGCAACTTCTCTTGATCAAATTCCACTGCCCTGAAGAAGGGTAGAGATGGGGACTCACTAAAGCAGGGAGCGAAGATGACGGAAACACAGGTCTCTTACGATCCGTAGTCTCCAGAATGGGTCAGCCGAAAACAAACAAACAAACAACCCACGAGAAGGTAAAAAGAAAAAGGGCGTGACTGAACTGAGGCAATTACTGTATTGTCTCAGCCCGAGCACGGCCTGAGGTTTCATCCCTCCCCAAATCCGCTGGGTCTGGGGTCGACTTTTATCCCATTCACCAACCTGAACCTCCATCACCTACCAAAGTGAGGATGCGCTGACGTCCAAACCACCCAACCTACCTCAGGATCTCGCAGGCGCCACAATGGGGGGCCGCCCGCCCAGCTACCTGTGCTGCGCCTGCGCCTTCCCGCGCGCTCTCAAGGTCAGCACCGCCCCCTGCCTCTAACCTAACACCCAGTAAAGAGACGGTAGAGGACGTCTTGCGTACCTCACCTCTGCGTGGCGTGGGGTCGCCGCCGTTCTGAAGAGGGGCGGGACTTCCTGTCCCGCGCGGGCAGGACTTCCGGAAGAGCAGGAAGACCCTGTCCTTTTCACTGTCAAGAAATTCCGGGCTTCCCTGTGGGGTGGGGAGGTCTGGGACGGTTACGGTGACTCCAGGGCATCTGGTCCACTATCTGTGCTTGGCGCCATGGTGAGTCTTTCTGTGGGGGCTGGAGTAACAACTGGGGAGGAAGGGCCGGGAGGTCAGTCCAGTGAAGGGAGTCGGTTGAGTTCCGAGCTGAGGATGGAGGGGGGCAGGAGCAGTGGGATGAGCCTCAGGGCAGGACCCACCACCTGCCCTGGAGCTCCGGAAGCTCCCGGGCCCCTGGGGAGGCAACATCTGAATCTGTCCTGCCCAACCGTGAGTTACCTCCAGGAGTACGGTGTAGGTAGCCAAAATGTTCGTGTCCCATGCACAGTGTACGGCGCGTGGTCCCAGAGTTGACCTTGCTCCGTTGGTCGTTTCTTTGGTCCCAGAATTGAGCTTGTCTGGTTGATCATCTTCCCTTCCCCCTTAGCTGTAGGGTCGTGGCCCAAAACTTCAGATCTTAGAAATGCCTTTAGCCTTTCCAGGATAATAAACACCTGTCACTTAAAGAAACTGCAAGGTCAGTTTATCTTTCAAACTCAGCCCTTTTGGCGTTGGAAAGGGAGTCAGGTAAAAAATCTGGACTTAGTAAGGACATACTTCATTTGGAAGGAATATTGCAAGCGCATGGGGGTAAGGACTATTACAATAGGGAGAATGCCCTGACAATAAAAGTTCTTAAAGAGTCCGAAAGGTTAGGCAAAGGGGATTTTTCAAGGCTAAAAAGAACTAAGATGAAGTTCTTTTCTTCATCTAAAGATAAGTTAAATGAAAGGGTAGTGTGGTCTGTAGATCAAAGATTGTTTTACTCTAGAATCAGCCTATTCTGTAAAGGATCTGTTAAGGAATTGTATGCTGTTTCAGATTGAGGGTGGGCCAAGTTTAGGGACTTGAGTAAAGAGGATCTTAACCAGAATTTGGGTAAAAAAACATTTTATTCCGATTGAAGTACAGGAACAAGCAGTTCATCTAGGCATGTATGAAGTGAAGAATGAATCTGCAGGTTTGTGTCTGGCCGTGTCAAATAAACAAGAGGGTCATCCGTGAGCTCTATCGAAGTCCTATGGGGACCAGTGTTTTTTTGCAGTAAACCTTTTTCAGAACACAAAAGGGTGGGGTGGGAATAGGGGAATTTCGTACTTATGTTGTTTTCCAAGATCACAGGGGTCTGGTAAAATTTAATATGATCAGTTACTTGAGTATATGAAAAGATTTCATATCCTTATGTAGAGGGCTTGCTTTCTTGGAATTTAGCTTTAGTTTGCCATGCTTTTTCCAGAACCAAATATTGACATTGTTCAGCTATTGTGTGTAATGATTGACTTTTGAATGACCTTTAGAAACTTAACTGAATGTGAAACAAAAGAACCTTCAAATAATGTGGTTCTTGGTGAACTCTACTGAGCTATGACTACTAACCTCTGACTCTTGGGCACTGTGTTTGCGTGTGTATTAACCTCAGTGAATAATAGTGTTATTTTTTTTCCTTTAGTATCAATGAAATTAGACAGATAGGGAACTGTAAAACCAGAGGGAACCAAAGATAGCAGTCCAACACCCCATCCCTACTACCAGTTATACAGAAGTAAAGAATCTGAGGTTTAGAAATAGGCATTGACTTACCTAAAGTAACAACAGTTGGCATAGTCTGGATTAAAAACTCAGATCTTCACTTCTTAAATTTAAGCTGTTTTTGAATCCTTGGTCTTAAAAGGTTAAGATACAGTGTAATTAAAATCCTTGAATTCATAATAATCACAGAGAAGCTGACTATGAACTTATTCCCAGTCTTCTGAAATACTAGAAGTAGAATCCCTCTTTTTTAAAAAAAGTAGTTTTGTTTTAAGCTAAGGTAAACAAACTCATGCTTTTTCTCAACATACCACTTAAGAGAATGTTACTTGGAGAATGTCACCAGCAGGCAGGTAGTTGGTTTTCTCCATTCTGGTATTGCTTACATTTCTAAATTAATTTACTTAACTCCAGTTTAGCTTTTCCATCTGAATTGATAAAGTCTGTATATGTAAATGTAGTCAGTGCTTGGAATCCTTCGAAAGAAAGGGTTTAGCCATTAAATGAAGTTAACAAGGGTTGAAGTTATTTAGGACTCAGCTTGGTTAAATTGAAAACTTTTGCACTCCTTTGCCTAATGATATAATGAAAATGATGCAGGACTTAAATTCAGAAGCCCCAGGTTCTGCCCATTATTATGTGAATTTGGCAAAATTACCCAGCTATATAAAAGTTCATTTTCCCCTTAGATAAGAGAAGTGGGACTTAATGGGAATTAAAACACCTGACTTGTATTTGTGATTCTATGACTTCACTCAGGACTTTTTTCAGAATAAGTACATCTTTTTTATTAAATAAGATTTAATCTGATTTCCACGTATTTTTCTGTTAATTTCTCAAGTTTGGTTTCATTTATCATCTTTTCATTTTTTATATGTCACATAGGTAATACTTGGAATCTGTCTGTGTTTGGCCAAGTATTTCATTACTGTCTTAAATACTATGAAATGGAAAACAAAGCCTTGGGACACCTTGATTTTATTTTTGTTTTAATAGGTATAAACTCATTCTGTTCTCTTATTCTCTGGTACAGTATGTAGATCAAAATGAAGCAAATGCCTGTGTATGTAATAAGGTTCTCCTTTGAGCAAATGACAATGGGATTATGATCCAGACTAAAAATACTATGTATTCACTAGGGGAATAAAACTGTATGTTTTATTATTTTTCTTTTTGAAACTTTCAGTCCAACTTTAATCAAATAGGTCTTTTCACCATTTAGGCTGGTTTGGGGAACAAAAGTAGATTTAGAGCGAGCTCCTGGAATTGAAGGTATCTCACAGCTTATTTTACCTATATGGCACCCTGTGGTAACTTCTGCTGGGACTGAGCTATGGTCTATTGGGAAAAAAGGTTGTAAACTTCTGCTTTAAAATTTATTAGAAAGTTGTCCTTTTGGGACATGAGAAAGGGTGTTGGGAAGAGAATGTGGTAAATGTTATAAGGGAAATAAGTGTAATGTGCTCAAGAGTACAGAAGAAAGAAATTCTAACTGTGGAGAGGGGGGTCATGGTGGTAGGTGAGTTCAGCTGAGTTTTGAAAAGTGGGTTAGGACACTAGTTCTCAAATGTGAATTTGCTTAGGATTCACCAATAATCCTTGATTAAAAAGGCTTATCTGGGACCCATTATTGGAGGGTGAAGTTTCAGAATCTTATTTTTAATGAGTTTTACAGATACCAGTAAGTCTGAAACTAGTGGTGCTTAAACCACACTTCGAGGGAACTGTAATGCAGACATTAGAGACTTCGATGAAGATATTGGAGGTTTTTGTGCTTAGTGATGCTCAGAGATGTTCAGTTTGTTGATGTGGTGGATTGGTTTAATTGATTTTCAAATGTTGAATTAGCCTCTTATACCTAGAATAAATCCCATTTAGTTGTGGTATATAATTATTTTTGTATGTTTTTGGATTTGATTTCCTAGTATTTTGTTTAGGATATTCTGCATTTATTGAAAGATGATATTCTGTAGTTTTATTTTTCTTATTATTATGTCTTTGCCTCATAGAATTGGTTAGTAAGTATTCCCTCTGCCTCTATCCTCTGCAAGAAATTGTAGAGAGTTTGTATCATTTCTTCCTTAAATGTTTGGTAAAATTTACCAGTGAACCCCTCTGGGCTTGGTGCATTCTGTTGGGAAGGTTATTAATTATTGATTCAATTTCTTTAATAGATATAGACCTATTCAGATTGTCTATTTCTTGTGTCACCATTGACAAATTGTGTCTTTCAAAGATGTGGTCTGTTTTACCTAAGTTATTTGTGGACATAGAGTTGTTCATAGTGTTCCTTTATGAGCCTTTTAATGGCCATGGGAACTGTGACGGCTGCTCTTTCATTTCTAATATACTAATTTCTGTTATTCCTTTTTATCTTAATTCTGGCTAGAGACTTACTGATTTTACTGATCCTTTCAAATAACCAGCTTTTGGTTTCATTAATTATTTTCAATTGAGTTCCTATTTCCAATTTCATTGAATTCTGCTCTAATTCTTAATATATTTTTCTTTTGCTTGCTTTTGATTTAATTTGCCCTTTCTAGCTCCCTAAGGTGAAACCTTAGGTGATTGATTCTGAATATTTTCTGATATACTTGTATTCATTCACTGTTATAAATTTTCCTCTAAGCACTGCTTTTGCTGCACCCCATAAATTTTGATAAATTTTGTCTTTATTTTCATTTAGTTCAAAATATTTTTAATTTCTTTTGAGATTTCCTCTTTGAACCATGTGTTACTTAAAAGTGTTTAATCTCCACATATTTTGAGACTTTTCAATTATCTTTCTGTTATTCTGAGAACAGACATTGTATGATTTCAGCTTTTTGAAATTTACTAAGTGACGAGGATACGGGCCAGCAGTATCCATCTCGGCTGTGGATGTTTGTCAAAACATGCTAAAAAACATACACAGAGACTATCAGGTCCTGTGGGGGAGTAGGAACAGAATGGCCACTCTCTCTGATGAAGAGAGCGCTGCTTGGCCACCCTCCCTGGTGGGGAGAGCACCCCGTTCCCCCTCCAATAGAGAGACTTTTATTGCTTTCGCTTGAATAAGAATTCAGGTAAAAGCTCATTACTCATTGCTAGGAAGTAAGGATCAAACAATAGGTAACAAGGAAGTCTGAGGGCCTATTTTGAGTCAGAGTCAAAGAGCTATAAAACTTTAAAGAACAAAATTACTTCTTCCTTGGACCCTTATCATTCAACTGAGAGCATTCTAAACAAAGCAGGTTTCACAGGATCTTAATATATTCTTTCTTAGGCCTGATCACCCAGGGAACCCACCCTTTTCAGCACAGAGCCGTACCACCCTGTCATTGGTTCAGGCTTAAGGGAAGTAAGGCAGCCAAGGGATAAGGAGATTTTCTCCCAGACGATGAGGACTCAGGCTATGTCAAAGCTGAGGAGCTAGGGTCCATCACCCCCTTTTGCTGTAGCCCCCAAAGTCCTTTCTTGGGGGCCTCCCATGTGATCATGCCTGTCTTAGA